CAGCTGTTACAGGAGGCACTATAGACAGCTGCAGTCCACAGGGCCCTGGGCTGGAACCCAGAAAAAAGGGCGGGCCCGGGTTCCTCCCAATTGACCTGGACTGTGGGTTCTTCCAGAGGGGAAGGTCTCTGGGCTGTTCCCCAACCCACGTGGAGAATCTCTGAGGCAAGAAAATCCACCAATAAGCACAGAACCCACCAAGATAGAGGAGGAACTTTGTCACAATAGGCTCTTGGGTACATGTGTTGCAGTGGCTATTTCTGAAATGGGTGAATATGCTCTCATTAAGTGATAGTGGAAATTCTGCTGGAAACAACTGATTGGCCTACATCTCCTATCATATCACCTAGCCTCCTAATGCCAAGATGTGGGACACAACTGCAAAATGAGGGATGCACTGAGGGAACATACATTTCTCTCCCCCAAGCCAGCTATTGTCACATCCTTCTTTCCACCACCCCTCACACCTTTACCTGCCAGCCTCCTCAGAGACATGAACAGTAGTGAGGGCAGACTTGTTATCGAAAGTCTAAGCTTCATCATTGCAGCAGGAGAACACAGCAACTAGTGTATCCCTGTCCTATGTTTATTGATATATTCCTAGGTATATTCAGCTTTCTGTTTTTGCCAGATACACCCTGAAGGATCCCTTCCATCAACAGGCCAATCTCCCTGTCTTTATTGTGAGCTGTCTTCTGGAGAAGGCCCAGCCACCTTTTCTCTTTCCTTGAATTTATCAGTACATTTTGCTTCTCTAATGAACAAGATTTTTCTAGCAATCCCAGAGTCTTATTCCCCATGCTATTAGATGGAGAGACTGAAGATCAAGGTGACAGACCAGCCTTCTTGTGTCAACAAGTCTACTACTAAGGGTAGAGGTTTATTAACTCTCTGGACAGGTGAATTAAGTCTGATCGATACTGGTGCTATTAAAATTACCCAAAACGGGTCTTTTAAAAAATAAACTCTTTGAATGAAAGGAAAAATGGGGAGAAAAATGTATACATTAAGCCTTGACCTCACCCACTTTATAAGAAGTGTATCTGATACTGAGTCCTGCCTTTGCCTGCAAAATTTTTGACACTTCCTTTTGCTGCTGGATAGAACGAGATCTATTACAGGATTCTCCACAACTTGAAGATGTATGTTACCAATATGTCTTGCAAAGAGCACTCATTAATTTGAGAGGGTGACCTGCTCAAATGATCTGCAAGGGTATTTTGTTCCCCCAACATATGAATTGTTATTGGGTGAACATCTTGTTCTATATCCCAACCCAAAGACACCTTGCCTCTATGCACAAATGTAGGGAATGAGTCCAACCTTTTGGTTTAGATAATAATGCTGAAGAGCTGTGTGTAAACTCAAAAGCTTTGTCTCTCACCAACAGACGTGGGTCCAATAAAAGATATTACCTCACCCACCTTGTCTCTGTCACCACCTAAAGCAAAATGACTTTAGAGACAATCTGACTGCTCTCAGTTGTAAGACACTGATATGTAGATTCTTTTCTTTTGATATCTAGTGAACTCTGACTAATAAACTGATGTTTAAATAGGCCCCCCCCCATCCCAGTGTAGATGCACCAGCGGTAAGTATTACTGATGGCATAAGGAGACTGATGGCATAGGGAGACCTTTATTAAATACATTTAGAGCATGCCCACCACATCGGTATTGTTGACACGTGTAGAATTACCAATTTGCTATGCATATTGTCCAAGGCTGGTTTGTTATTTCTTGGTAGCGTTGCAGCGCTCATCTGAAGAGCGTGTGGGGTCACTGATGTGGCTGATGCTAGAAGACCCAATAACCAGAAAAGCGGGGTGGGGGGCAGAGATAATTGACTGTTGTGGGGACTGCAGAATTTTAGACAATTTTATTTTATAAACCTTTCTTCTGGGGGAAAGGCTTTTCCTACAGTCAAATTTAACGTGGCCCCTATGAAAACAATCCTCTTAGCTGGATTTAGGATAATTTTTTCCCAATTTATGCATAATCCCAGACAGGCAAAAAGTAAATATTTGTTCCACAAAACAGGACATCTTCCCAATCATCTAGGTAAGGATATACACAAATCCCATTTTCTCAGATATGCTGCCACCACACAAAGGCATTTTGTAAACACCCTCAGGACACCTTGAGACAAGTCACTTAATTGCTGTGGGGATACCTTTTACATTCCTCACAGGCAGGAGCGGCTCCAGGCACCAACGCAGCAAGCACGTGCCTGGGGCGGCAAGCTGCGGGGGGCGGCCTGCCGGTCGCTGTGAGGGTGGCAGTCAGGCAGCCTTCGGCAGCATGCCTCCGGGAGGTCTGCTGGTCCCGTGGTTTCGGCGGCAATTTGGCAGCGGGTACACCGAAGCTGCAGGACTGGCAGATCACCCGCAGAAACGCCGCCGAATCCGCGTGACTGTGGACCGCCTGCAGGCATGCTGCCGAAGGCCGCCTGACTGCCGTGCTTGGGGCGGCAAAAAACATAGAGCCACCCCTGCTCACAGGAGATTAAATTCAGTGATTTTTCACATGAAAAGTATAATTTACCAATGTCTAAGAGTCAGTGATAGGTGCCATAGTGATATGCCTTTTTTTGGAGCCAGCATATAGAAGTAACTGCAGGGATTTCTTTTAAATAAAGCGATACATGTCCCGAAGAATTGCACTACCCAAACATTTGCCTCTTACTGTTTCTTGTTTTAAATAGTGAACCTTTTTGCTAAAGGAGAATGTTTCCCCTTGAAAGCAAAGCAAATTCATCCTTGGCGTAGCTACCCTAAAGCCAACACAGCCTCTTATGCTTACTTGTGAGTCTGATTCTGTTCTCATTTACCCAAGGTGCTAAGAAGTAACTCCACCAATGTAAACGGAGTTATACTTACATAGGGGGAGCTTTTCTAAAGAGCCTAAACGATTTAGGAGCACAAGTCCTATTGACTTTCAGTGAGACTTATGTTCCTAAATTTCTTAGGAGATTTTATATCTTCCCTTTAAAATGAGATCAGAACCAACCCTTTTTTGTTGTTGTTGCCTGGCAAACAATTATATATATTTTTAAAAGTAGTTATAAACACCTGTTTACTGATCAATTATATTTTAGCTATTTAAATTAGTATTTTTATAGTGAGATTCATGTATCTGAATGGTAACAGAGGGTTAAATGCTAATATTACAAGCAATCGACTTTCTGAAGAGTTCAAATAACCAAACATGTGTAGTCAATTTAAGGACTTGTATCAGAAAACAATAACACGGAAAAATGACGCTCAACTCATGAGAACTGGAGCATGCAGTCCCCACTTGGAACTCATTAGCATATTTTCTCTGTCTATTTGTCAACAGAAATATGAACTGCATGTCAATGGCTCAAAAAAAGATTCCAAAAGGAAATGCTGACTGCAGACACTCAACTACTGTGTCATGGCACATGTACCCCTTCCAACCATTCAATATATCACATTGCATTGTGACTTCGAAGGCAGGAATTCTTAACTGCAGTCTCTTTCTCCTTTATTTTCTTATAAATATAGTTAAGATCAAGCAAAAAAAGAACCCCCCCCATGGGAGTGTATAACGGGGGGCACTTACCTCTTGAGCACCTGCTGCATGCTGTACTGCAGACCTTTTCTCCGTCTTGGCACCCCCTGTAGGTTGTTGACCTTGGTTGATGGGTCTTCAGTGGCTCGGCCCTCCAGCCAGGTCACAGTAAAAAATGAACCGCCTCTGGGGTAGCAAATAGGGTTGTCAGCTTTCTAATGGCACAAAACTGAACACCTCTGTCCCACCCCCTGCCCCATCCCCTTCTCTGAACCCCCCCACCCACTCCACCCCCTCCCTCCCTTACTTTCACTGGGCTGGGGCAAGGGGTTCGGATGCGGCGGGGTTGAGGGCTCTAGCTGGAGGTGCAGGCTCTGGGATGGGGCCAGAAATGAGGGGTTCAGGGTGCAGGAGGGGTTTAACACAAAGGGACTACTCATGTGAGTGAGGATTGCAGAATCCAGTAGCTGTGGGGCTAGGGGGTGTCGATCGTCCTTCAAATAGCCGATGCCTCAAAACATGTTTTATTTGGTTGTTTTGTTGTTGCTGTTTTTCAAATACCAGGGAAGGGATATTTGGCTATGGCCTACATACAGGTATCTGGGCCTGGGCCCGTTCAGCAGCTGCTCTTACTGAAGAGCACTGTTCTTTGCTCATACACGTGGCCAAGCTTTTGAAAAAATGAGTTGTTTTGGGTGCCTAATTTGACACCCTTAAAGCAACCAGATTTTCAGCGGCCCTATGCTTAGCTCTCTCTGAAAATCAGGCTCCTGATTGTTAGGCAGGGTCAGAATTGGATCAGGCTCTGAACTGAAAGCTGATCTGTTGCATCTCCCCTCCCCACTCCTCGAACTAATAGTCTGTCCCCTGGGTATGCGATCAGCTCCTTCCACTAGGGCAGCAAACTGCCCATTTAATTATCTCCCTTTTATCACACTGACATTTGTTTCCTTTTTCATCAGCCTATGATGAAGCCATGGAACAAGCTCAGAAAATAGAGGGCTTTTAAATGAGCCAAGCGAGCTACTCTTAACAATAATGATAATATTGCCAATAAAACCATAAGTGAGCATCAGCATGAGCTATTAGGTACTGTGGATCTTTCTAATTTAAAAATGAAATAGCTGAATGCAGAATCCCCCCTGCCCCCCCAACTCCTCCCAATGAATGACAGTTGGCAGGTTGCTTGGCTTACAAAAGGACAAACATATTTCTGTCGTATCTGTCAAACATATTTTCTAAGGACATATTTTGTCCTTAGAAAATATGTTTTCTAAGGACAAAATCCTGCAGGGTACAGAAAGTAGTGTTGTTTAAAGCAGCCATTTGGGTGTCTTATGGGAGGAATATAAATGCTCTAAGCTAGCAGGAAATACTCACCTATGCCCCAGTGTGCCGTATCTATGTGCATCGGATACTGCACCCTCAACTCCCATAGAGACAGTGCAAATTCAGGACGTTTAGCTCCACAGAGGATCAGTCCCTAAATAGCCAAGGAGCCAGGATTTTGTTCCTTTCATTGGACAAGCTATCAGCTCCGACTGAGTGCCAGCATGCTTCTTCCTAGACTCTTACAGGTACAGCCATTGCCAGAGCCTAGGAGATCATGGCTGCTGAAAGAAAGAGAAATGGGAAATACTGAGTGTCAGCACAGGAACTCAGACACTTATGGTTGGCCATGCCTGAATAACATACCATCCATATCCAATCATTTGTAGAGCTAAATTAAGGAAGATGAGCTGCTTACTGAAGTTTTAAGCTTCAGATCAATGTTATTTCTTTCCAAGACCTGAGAGAGTGACCTTTGCATTTTTTTTCCTCAAGTGTTTGCAGTGATGTGCTTCACTTGCTGCACAGCATTTAGGCCAGAATTTTCCAGGGGTGGATGCTTAAAGTTAGACACCTAAAGCCATGCTCAGGCACCTAAATAAACAGCTACTGGTACTAACTACCAGTTAGAGCAGATGAACCACTGGTTTTATCCAGTATGGCTACTTTCATGTTTTTGTGATTTTTCAGAGGTGCCAAACACCTACAGTTCTCACTATAATCAAAATCAGTGGAAGTGGTGAGTATTCAGCACCTCTGAAAATCAGAGCACTTTGATGAGACCCTAAACATGAATTTAAGTGCATAGCTTTTGGGGCCCCCATCTAAAAAAAAATCTGACAAATAACTGGCACAAGGATTATATTCCCGTTTCTTTAATTTCAAGTCACCAGAAAATAATGGTTGAAGAATGTCCTAATTTGTGCAGAGCTATTCATCTGAATTAATATCTTCAATTATACATGCTAAGATAATGGCAACCAAAGCTTATGTTTTAGGTGAGAATTCACTACACCCTACCCAACCAATGTACATGACTACACCACTGGCAGAAAGCTTCCTACATTACCTGCCATTTTCAGCTATTGGCCCCTGCTGGAAACAGAAGAGACGGTTCAATGAACCAATGGTTGATTCAGCATGGCAAGTCCAATGTTGTTTTATTAAAAGCCCAGTACAGCAGCTCCAAAAGAATGACAACTGACTTCCAGTTCCAACCCTTGTGTTGGTGGAAAGGGAAAAAGACTGATGGTGAAATCCTGACCACGTTGAAGTCAATGGCAAAGCCCCTATTGGCTTCAGTGGGGCCAGGATTTCACCCAGAGTCTTTTGGAAGAATGGAGCCAGCCAAGGGACACACAAAGACCCATACACTTTGTACAACATGTAGTTGCTGGAACAATGGCTATGGAATTGGCTCAGTCAGGAAGCCTACCACCTTGTCTTCAGATCAGGAAGTGAGAACAGCAGGTAAGAAGCAATTATACACAAAGCTAAGGAGAATTTAGTGAAAATGCAGTTCTGTTAAACATCCTTTTGCTTGGGAATGCAACTGGGTTTGCAATGTCTCTATGTTTTGTATTATTTGTCACCCTAAGAATAATAATTCATCCCATGGAAACTGCATGGGGACTATTAGGAAGGCAGAAGGGAATACCACCAGTTAGAATTTGGCCAGGTCACCAGAGTTAATCATCTCTACTCTTCTTAAAAGTACCAGAGAACTTTTAATGGTCGTGAATTATCAGGTCCTTGATTTTCTATCTGACTCAAGCTAGCGCTGGCCCCTGATCAGTGTGTTGGGACTTTGTCTCACCACTGACTCAGAGGAGGCGGTCACCTACTGAGTCATCAACATAGCTTCCTCCAGCACCGGGGCTTCCCATGAAGGTCTCCCATCCAAGAACCGAGTTGTCCCATGTTTGACATGAATAGCCTGTGACACAATGACAGCACAAGGTGATAGGTGCACACTCCAAAGCCACAAGAACAGTGTTCTATTTTCAGTACCATTCCCTTCTTCCTAAAGATGGGGGGGGGGCTGCTCTGGGAAAACAAATACAGGAAAGCTCCATGCTATCATAGTCTGTGCGCTGGATTCTCTTATACTGTTCGTGCTCATAAGTCATCTTCCTTTTTACCCTCCCATGGAGTAGCAGGGGAAAGTGACATGCTCCCTGCACCCAGCTGATCCTGGCTGCTAGAACAGCGTCTGTTGACTATTAGCACACTTTTTCGGTGGGGACTGGGTTGATGCCCAGAACTTAGGGGGAGTTTTAAGCCACCTGTGCCCCACTTTCCTCTATACTTCTGCTAAACACAGTTAAGCCACTCTGTGTATCTGTAAGAGAAGAAATGTCACATTGTATCAATTTAGCAAATTTTCCTATCCAGTCATTTGAATGGTGCATTATCTATAACATACTATGAAAATCTTATATTTCTGGATGTCTCTAAACAAATAAATCTAGCACCTGCCTCCAATAATAGGGTGTGATGGGGGAAAATGCTAGCATAGAGAGGCTATCGTTATCCTATCAGTTTGGGGTTATGTTATGGAATGAAAGGGACGTAGTTGCATTGACTGGAACAATCACTAATGGAGGTTATATCTAAATAAAAACCATGAATATCACAGTGATTGGAGTATAAAAAACAACTCATCTTTGAAAAAGGCACCACTTTGGGAAAATAGGAATGAGAGACTATTCTTAGCCTAGTATTGTAATTAGTGCCCGATTCTGATCTCTTGCTATTTTTACTTTGGGGTTAACTTCATTGATTTGCTCCTAATTTACTCTGGTGCGAGGATTACCTGCATCAGAACTATTCATTTATTTGTAACCCTGGACTGCAATTTATTTGTGCAATTCCTAAAATGAGGAAGCCGCAAAAGTATTCAAGCTGCAGACTGTCAATAGTGCATAGTACTGGATATAATAAATGATAAATCAAGCCTTCAGAACATGTATAAGGAGGGGAAAATACAGTTCCTTGATGGGAAGTTAGTGAGCATTTACAGTGGGTAGCAAGAGAAGGGCATAGAAAAAACAAAGGGATTTATGTGTAAAGAACGATGTAGAAAGATGGTTTGATTGCCAATGAAACCCATAGAGGCAAGGAGGAAAAAATGATCTGGGTAAATTCATTTGGACTCTGACCCAAGGATGGTTCTTAAATTTGAAAAAGTGTGTGTGATATTTAGGCACCAAGGACTAAATTTTCAAAAGATGCCTCTAGTTTTGGGTTCCTCCATTTTAGGGTTCCCCGAAGTAGAGCCCTGCAAATCTGCAGATATCTGCTTTATATTCAACAGAGGGTCCTGTGGCACCTTTTGCTCCCAATATTTCTGTTAGTCTTAAAGGTGCCACAGGACCCTCTGTTGCTTTTTACAGATTCAGACTAACACGGCTACCCCTCTGATGCTTTATATTCGCAGACCATGTTTGCAGATCGCAGATCAGATACGGATACAAATTTTGTATCCCTGCAGGGCTTTACTCCAAAGCTGTGGTCTGTGCAGCTAGATATCATGCTGCTTGATTTGCAAGCACAAATGATACTGGCATGCACAAACAAGAGGTCTCAAGCACCCAAAAACATAGGCCTCAATAGTTGGTCTCACAAATTAGAGGCCAGACTTAGGCTACTTAGAAAATTTAGCCTCTAAAAGTTTATTCCTTACCAGCTTCCAATATCAAACTAATTTTTAAGAAGTTTAGTCCTTGTAATGGCAACACTGTCCCATTTCCAGTATTGCAAATAGACATTAAATGCATTTCCCGGAAGTTGGTTCTCACCTGGAATAAGATATTTTCCTATAGCTTGGATACAAATATCAGAACCATCTATAGATAAGAGAGGGCTCATATCTGAAGCCATAAACATAGTTCAAGTTTCTCTTTCCCCTACCCCCAGTCTAACAGTCAAAGTATTCACACAGAAGAGAATTTTATCTGCCTGCAGTAGCTCCTGTTTAAAGAGATTATTAGCTGATTAAGATTAGACAACATCACATTTTTACAGCATAGCCCTCTGACTTTCACTTCCTAATGAACGTATGTTTCCTGTCTTACCTAAATCTGTAATTATGCTCAGTATGATTTCCATCTGTCTAGGTCAAATATGTAAAACAATTGGCTGAGTCAAAGTGACTCAATTTTAATTTGAATCCTTTTGGGAAATATATATATTCAAAACTGAATTCCTGCATCTCAGTTTTCTTCCAACCTGGATCATACTAGCTTGAGTCATTCTTTCTGGTTACTTGAATTTTCCATAGGTGCCAAATATAAGGGCCTCAGTGGCTGGCAAACTCACCCCCTCTTTCCCCAACACAATAGGCTGAGATTCACAATCTAACCTTGCTGCCTCCATTCCTGGTGTGAGTGTAGTAAGTGCATAGCGTACTGTGAGTGACACACAGTCAATCTCAGTCATAGATGGCTCAGGACACAGACAAGGCTTGGGTGCTTAAGAGACCAGCAACAAGACTCAAAGTAACTTGCTGAGTTTAATGAATAAAAATAGAAATTCTGTTTAGTTACAGATGGAAATTTCTTCAGGTGGTATAAAGCATATCCTATCCCAGTATAGTTAACCACAGTGAGTTATTCTGTAAAATACGTATTGGCGAACCCCACTGTCACAGAATCCAAGTCTGGCCGAAGTTAGTGGTACACTGGAAATCCACAGTAGTCACACATTGCCCGTCTAACTGAGAGTAGAGTTGCCCCATATGTGTTGGGAATGGAAAGGACTTACTAGGCCATTTGGTACATTCCTGTTCGGTTTGTTACCTACAGTACATTTTTAAAGAAGATACTTAATTGAACACCTGCCTACGCTGTGATTTTATTGCTGCAGCCTTCTCCTTCCTACTGTTTGTCACCTCCACTTATGCTCTGGCTACATTTAGATTATGAACTCTTTGGGGAAGAGACTTGTTTTTCTGCTGGTATTGTAAACTGCACAGTACGTGTTTCTCCACTGTAAAAACAGTAAGGTTACGACAAGAAACGATCATATTGGGATTTCTCTGTCTTTCCATGGCAGACTACTCCACAGGGAAACAGGTGTCACTGTTTGTAAGTATTTCCTGACCATCTTAACTAGAGCTGACTCAGGAAGCCATTTGCAGCACACAACAGCAACTTTACTGAACTTTTGAACTAATGAACAATGCTGCATATAATTCATGCCAGTATATGGCACTCTTCATATTAACCAGCTATCTACATATACACATGTATACTGATACTTCTTTATATAGCACTTCCATAA